GCGGGGGGGGCCGTGGATAGGAGCGTGCCAGCCTGCTCCTGCCGTTCCCTTGGACCTGCAGCTCAACCAGCAGTTACAGCTTTGTGTTTCGGTGTTTCTTCTGTGCTTGTCTGAACCCATCTGCCCTTTCGGCACCCACAGCCTAGCAGCTCTATCCAGCAAAAGCCTTGAGGACTGTACCCCGTCCGAGATGCAGGACAGCATCCTGCAGTGGCTGAGAACTTCAGCTCTGGTCCAGCAAATGCCAAATAATCCCAGTGAGCTCCGGGCACACACATCATTGAAGGAAATACGTGCTGAAGTGCTCGGTTGGGCCAGGTGAGTGCTCAGCACCTTGCAGGATTGAGCCATTATTTGTGTTGTAACGCTCCGTACCTGCCGGATCGGGGGGGGTAGCTTGGCCAGGTGCCCAGAGCACTGGCCAGAGCTGCCGGCGGTGAAGGAAGCGGCATTAGCAGGATTCTTGCTAAGCTGGGCTCGGCTGAAGCTATGCTCACCCTTTTTTTTTTTTCATAGCTACAATTACTCATTGCGAACGTTGTTCCAAGAGCTGCAGTTCCCACTGACGAGGTTTAAAATAATTTCTTCCGTGGTTTCAAAGTCTTTGTTTTTTTTTATCCGCTGATCCTCAGCGAGACAGATTTCCACTGCCGGCAGGGAGATTTCAACCTGCTGAAGGCTTGCAGAAGGGCCTCTCGCTCCGCAATCGCGCTGCCGCGTGTGTCCCCAGCGTGCACCGTCATGCCCTGCGAGCGGGGCTGGGTGCGCAGCTCCCGGGAGATTGACACCTCCAAAATGCCGGAGCGCGTTGCTAGAACGACACCGGCGGCACGGCTACCAGCTACCGAGAAAGGAGATACCTGCCGGGCGCCCAAAGCTGCGTCGGGTGCGTTTGCGAGGTGTGTGGTCTCTCAGATCTTTGGGATGCAAAATGCCACTGGCTGCCCTGCAAGGATTCGTGCGGATGAAATAAGAGAGGTATCTTTTAGTTAATCCTTAGCAAGCGCGCTAATTGGACGCGGGCAGCAAGGTGGAAGACGGGGTTTATTTTTGGGAACTGTACTTGGGATATCGAGTTAATACCTAAAAAGATCCAAATTCAGGCTGTATGCTCACACGTTCTTTGCTTCCCAGTGCCTTTCCCCAGCGAAGCGGCGGATTTCCCCGCTGTGGTTTGAAAACTGTTGTGAGGAATGAGTAAGGCTAAAACAAACAATGTGATGTCTCCTGTTACTGGTGGGGGAATGAAACGAGCTTCACCCGAAGTTTTGACAGCGTCTCTAGCGAACTGTGAAAACTCAGTTGTTAGAAATGGATATGCAGTGCGCGCGCTTTGAATAAAACCAATAAAATCAAATTCCTCCTTTGTAATGTGTGGCTTTATTATACGTATGTGACAAAGCTGTTTACTTTCAAGAGAAATGTAAGATAAATAATATTTAGTTACTGGGAGGTCGTTGGTTTAGAAATTGATATTTATTTACATACTCTGAGGAAGAATATCCCCGCCAGCTAGCGTAGCTGGGGGAGCTGCACTGTCCACCCATGGCACGGAGCTGTGTAGCCAGGGTGGTTGGAGGATTCCTGGCCGGCAAAGAGGAAAAAACACTGGGAAGAGGCGGGCGGCTTTGAAACGCTGGTAGTTTCTAGGTCAGGCTTGTTGAGCCACAATCTCTTGTTAACAAACCCACGGGTGCCTTTCGTGAGCATTGCTGTGCAGCACTAGTAATAACAAAGGTAGTGAATAAATGGCTTCTGCTCTCTTTTCCACGGAATGCTGACTTCGGAGGCAGTCTCACAGGGGAAGGCCTGGCCGTGCCGATGCCATGAAGACATCTGCCATCATGCCATGTGGTGCTGATGGCCCTGTGTTCCGGCCCGGCTTGGTTTTGTCCAGCCGCTGCCCTGTGGGGGTCGGTCGGCACTCTCCTGGGTTCTCCTTCACCTTTCAGGCGCCTGGGATTGCTTTTGGTATAAAAGTACCTTTTATTTTGGGCTTGGGTTTTTTGGGATGGGACTCACAGCATTTCTGAAACACATCCCAAATCTGCAATGAACCCCCATCAAACCCCGACTCCCACCCCGTCTCCCACCTTTCCTGGTCAGGGAAGCCCTGTGGTGCTGAGGAGCCCTGACCCCCCTCCACATAGATCCCTAAATCCATGGCAGCCAGCTCGCAGCTGACAGCATCTCCCCAGCTCCTCTCGGTCTGCACGGTGAGTCTGGGATGCCGAGGGATGTGGAGAGGGGATGCACAGTCCCCCTCACCGAGCTGGAGATTCACAGCAAATTTATACAGCGAGGATTTAGGGACAGGCACTGGATTTAGGCCAGGAAACTCAGCCTCAGGCATCTTCTCTTGGAAGAGCATCATCAACTCCACTCTGAACAAAAGTAGCCAGTGCACAGGGTCTGGATCTTTTCCAGGTGATGGCATTGCTGGACATGTGCTGCTCCGTGATGATACGGATCGAGCAGCTGCCCAAACGATGGCTTCATCCCCTGAGCCGGCTTCTCCTTGGGGTAGTTTGGTGCCCACTTCTGCGCAGGGTCACACCCCGGCGTGGGGCAGTGCCTCTCCATCAAAGGAATCCTGTTTCCCTGGTCACTGTGAGGGTCAGCTCGTGGCTGGCAGGCACCACGTTAAATGTTCCCCCGAGCATTTGGGGTTTGTTTTTTTGCTTTAAGGCTGGTTGTATCTTACAGTATTTGGATAATCCATCATGGAACAGCCTTCTCCTTGCAGCTAACTTCCCTGTGTCGATACTGGTTTAACACGGTGTGTCGTGCCCCCGCAGTCTGGTCCACGGAATGGGGGAAACGCTGTCCCGGGGAGACGCTCCAATGTTGCTCCGTGGCCACAGGAAATTAAAAAGCAAAAGCTCGAGGCTGAGAGCGCGGAGTAGGAAAGATGCCTGCAGCACACGATGTGGTTGGGATCGCTGCTGGGGTCCTGCGACGCTGGAGATCACACCTTCACGGGACCTTCTCTGAAACGGAGCCAGCGAATAATCCTTTCCTTTTCCCAAAATGGGAGCTCAGGTCCAGTAAACTACAAAAATCACATTGGAAGGGGTGGTGTCGGCATCGGATGTGCTGTGGGGCACTGGGGATGGGATCCCACAGGCAGGAACGTGTTTGAAAACAAACTTCTCTGTCTCGGTTTGTGAGTTACGGCTCCGTCTGATCGCGCTGGGATTTCTCCTCCCAGCTGCCCAGACTGGTGGCCAAGGCGTGGTGGTGGAGCGGCTGAAGAAGAGGTGGGTTTTTCGTTAATTAACCTCCCTTATCAGGGCAGTTCGGACATTAGAAGGCTGAAGAGGACGTGTCCTCACACAGCTGCTTCTCAAGGCTGGAAGGACAGACTGACACGGTTGGTTTTCAGATGTGACACGTCCCTAGCTCCAGGATGGGGCTGGAGGGGTCACAGCATCCCCTGGGACGTGCCCTGTATCCCCCCTCTGGCTCTGCATCGAGCCCACCTGGAGCCCTGGGGTTCCGCAGAGCAAAACATCCCGTTGGACCAGAGTTTTCTGTGGGTTTATGTCTCCCAGATGCCTTGGCCCTGGGTCAGGGAGGCTTGCGGCATCCCCGGGTTTCAGTGATGAGCACAACGGCTGGGTTTGCCCCTGCGGCTGCTCCAGCCCTTTGTGCTCAGCCTCGCAGCCGGCCAGGTCCTCAGCCCCTCTCTGCCTTCTGCTCATCCCCAAATGCTTTTCAACCGTGCAAAACACAGTTTTGAAAGCCTTGCACTTTCTGCAGCTCTTTATAGGTGTGTGCATCTCCTCTGGCCTCTTCAGCCTCTGGTTAATGAAGGGATTGCCAATTAACTGAAGCTAAGAAGTTCTTCTGCATGAGCTAGTTTCAGTTTTTCACAACAGTTTGCTCCAAGAAACAAATATTTGTGGCTTACTCAAAGCTGTGCCTCAGGATTAGCCAAACATGTGTGTGTCCTGGAACAAGTGCTCGCAGAGTGGCCAGCCTAGCGAGCACAGAGATGCTGACTAATTGAAATAAATTGGCAATTCCTAATACTCTTTCTCCTAAAGAACTGAGGCAAAACGCAAACATGGATGTGAGTTCTCCCGCTGACATCAAAGGCCATGTTTACATAAGCGCTGCTCGCGCTGGACATCTGATGCGGAGTTGGACCCTTTGGTGAGGAACTGACAGCTCGTTTGCAAATGAGCTTTGGAAAGAGCCCAGGCACGGCTGCCAGTGGTCCGCTGGTTAGAGCCAAGCCAGCCCATGTGAGCTGCAGGGATGCCGGAACCCTGGGAAGGGTCCTCAGGAAGAGCAAATCCATGAGCTTGGGCTCCTGCACCGTGGTGGGTGCACAAAGGAGGATCACCCCTGCCCCAAAGCTCGTTGTAGGAACACTCACCATTTTTTTGCTGTTGGACACTAGTGCCAGGGTAACATGATGGAGTGATGCTCCTCTGCAGGCCAGCAGCATTTCCTGCCTCGGCATGGAGACGGGCTGTTCCCCTGGGATGCTGGGAGAGATGGGACCCTGCGCAGCATCATCCTGGCTTATCTCCCTTGCCAGGTAGGAGTGGGTGTATACCT